TTGTCGTTATCTCCAAAACAGCCACATTAGCAGAAACACCCATTGACCGTTATGATGAAAAAGAACATTAGTCTTTTCCTGCTAATAACAAACAAAGAGTGAATTGGTGGAGACAGCACGTGTTGTTGCAGTTTTTCCACAACTGTCACCCAAAGCCAGCCAGGAGTCTGGAGAACACTAAGGAAAAAGAATAGTACCTTGTACATGCAGCTATAGATAGGGAGTGGAACCACTTTTTTTTTTTTCTTTAGTTACAATTAACATGTCTCTATAGCTTATTACTTGCTCCCCACTCATTGAAAGGTAGGGGCATGAAATGACAACAATTTCAGACTTCCCCCAGGAAAGAAAGGACATAGTTTATTGAAAAATACTAACACGGACCCTCAGTGTGTCCCCAGCACTCAAACAACACAGGACAAGTCCAGCAACAACCCTTTGCTTGGAGATGGTAAGTCAACACAGCAACTGGCAGAATTCATTTACAGTAGCCCACAGTCTTCCATTTGTACCACCCTGCGTGGTGGCTCTCTGGAGAACATGAGTACCAAATTCTCTTCAAGCTCTCACACTGCTAGAACATCATGACCCGGCTTTTTATTTTTCCCCCCTCTTGTAATATACGATGGCGCTGGAAATCCATTGAATAACAATTTTACAGTTCATGGCAATACATGTCCAGTGCTGACCCATCTACATGGTGAATGAAAACCACATTAGGATACGGATGCCTCAGGCCCTGCTCTGGCTTCATGGAGATCGGTGTTATTAGACAAGGCTACCAAAGTTTCAGAGTACAAGAGTGCATATTGCAGTGCACAGCTTAGCTGCAGCACACGCCAATGTTTATTAGCTTTTTACTAGAATTTTGTTCAAAGAAATGGTTCTGGGGCCTCAAGCTCCACCCAGCACTTATTCGTATCAGATGCTAGCATATCCCTTTCTATTTCCTTCTTGTGCATATGATTGTCTTTCAAATGTGAGCTTGTAACCAGTTAGGCATGTTTAGTACTACCACATACATTAAACACCGTAACCAAGTAATAAAAAAGCCTCATATAACCTAATTGGGTTTTGCATTTTTTTTTTCATGACTCCTTCCTGGAGGATGTTCTTTATATGTGTGTATATATATAAAAGATATATATTGTATATATACTTATTGAAGAGATAAATTGACTTTTCTGGGTCCTAATAAACCATTTCTGCCAATGATGCCTTTGTGACGTAAGAATAAAAACAAGCAGTTCCTCTAAAAACAAGCAAAGAAAATATAGCTCAATAGCAGCAGGGTGAATTAAGTCTTCTGGGCATAGTATTTATTACTGCACCTGCATCTAAAACGCATACTACTGCCTCCTCTTCCTACAAATCTGTAGTGAAGGTGAAAAACTCCCCAGATCCTCCAAAATTTAACTGTGTATTCAGCTGGACTTACTGGATAGTCCCAACAGAAATCACAACAATAAGGGTAAATTAATGAATAATGCATCACTCTCTTACATCACCAAATCTAGGGGCAAGGGAGAGACACAATACCTGTAAGATTATTACAGCTAAGCTGATGCTGGATACAGGAGGGAAAAGAATTTAACTACGAGCTGTGCAATAGCTTGAGATATCAATCCGAGAGATCAGAGCCGGAGACCTGACATCCAGCCATCTGCTCCAGTTGCTGACATGTTCGTGCTTTCCAGCTACATCCCAATTACGACACCTGTAGATGTGTTTGCCAGAATGGCAGAGTTTGCAAGCCGACACTCTCCTACAAGAAAATGAAGTTGAGCTTGTGTAGCTCATTGTTTGGTCTGTCCCCATGTGTAACTTTTCAGAAACATATATGGAGTTAAAACCAGCACTATTCCACCTGTGCCCTTCCCATTTACCAACATTTCGAAGTAGTTTTCAAGCTATTCTTATTTATAAAGACTTTCTAGGTCCCTAAGCACAGTAGTATAACATTTTAATTTCTTTTTGTAAGTAAAAAAAATACAGGAATAACTGTTGTGTTAATACTGTAAATAAATATACAAATGAGTGTCACATTCATTGTTTATCATTCAGATTTTTCCCCAAAAATTATCAAACATGAAATTATATCCTCAGAATTTGTTCCCGTTGAGGACTGGATTTACAGTTTTCACCTCGCAGCATACAAACACAAAAAAAAATTGACTGCATAAGGCTCGTAACTTGTAACATCCCAACAGAGCCTGTGAGAAATGTACTGCTGACTGAAAAGTAAACATAGTAATAATATATCCCTCTTACTATGCTAGAAGTGATAATATATTTTGCTAAAAGTATACATATTTGCATGTAGAAGTGATAATATATTTTGCTAAAAAACTAAGTATACATATTTGCATGCCCATATCAACTTTAAAAAATCAAGTTTTGGCAGAATTCCACATGGGGAAAGTTGATTAAAAGATCAGTATCTAAAAATATGGGCCATATTATCAAATGGCCCGATCAGTTGTGGAAGTCCTTATAACGTAATTTCTAAAGACTGACACTATGCGCTTACTAAGATTGCCTCAAGATTTAATGAAGCCAGTGAGAGCCCTGCTATTTTTCAAGCCCTATATTAGGCAAAAAAGGAGTATATTATCCAAGAAACACTAGCAACAATCAGACTACTCAACATTGCATTATGGAAGCCAACCACTGTGCCAACTTTAAGACAAGAGTGGAGTAGCAGAGAGTGCCCTCCATGGCCACAGCCTTAGTTAATAATACACAGAAACCCAAATTCTTTGGCATATCTGAATTCAAAGGAAAGCACATGATCCAGAAGATTACAAGCAGCTAAGCATTCCATAATTTGCTATTTCATTGCTGCTCTCCCCTTTCTTCTCCTTCTTTCAACTTTTTTTTTTTTCACAAAAAGTACTAAAATAAAGCACATGCATTTGTAAATGCCTTTGAAACCTCATTGCAGCTTTCCAGTATCTGAAGGGGGCCTACAAGGGTACTGCGAGAGGACTTTTTACAAGGGCCTGTAGTGATAGGACAAGGGGTAATGGGTATAAATTGAAATCAGGGAGGTTTAGATTAGATATCAGGAAGAAGTTCTTCACAGAGAGGGTGGTGAGGCACTGGAACAGGTTGCCCAGAGATGTTGTGGATGCCCCATCCCTGGATGTCTTCAAGGCCAGGCTGGATGTGGCTCTGAGCAACCTGGTCTAGTGGAAGGTGTCCCTGCCCCTGGCAGCGGGGTTGGGACTAGATGATCTTTAAGGTCTCTTCCAACCCAAACCATTCTATGATTCTATGATTCTATGAAACAGACTTTGATAATTACTCTGCCTCATGTTTCAGCTAGAGAGCTTCTACTGAAAAAATAAACTGCTATAGTTAAATAAAAGAGGCAATAGAGCACACATAAAAGAACTAAATACCTGCAGAAGTTTTAAACTGTTATTTGAAAGTAATGTTTAACCACAGTATAATTTTAGTAGATGAATGTGGCACTTCAGTGAAGACCAGTTTTAGTAATAGATGTGGTTAAATGCCTAAATTGTAGTAGTTTCCTTGAGATAAAAAGCTCTTACATGAACACAATACATGACCTATTATTCTAGTGCTTTAAGAAACCTGTTATGTTACAGAGTAGCTTAAGAGGAGCTTTAATACTCCCAAACGGTTAAGAAGCTAAAATAAAACTCAGAGCATCATTTGAGTTTTCTGGCATGCCAACTTCCACCAGGTTGAAGCGTAATATGGAAAACTTAAGTTACTTCACATGAACCATGTTAATGCACAACCACAGCCATCACATATCCCACATTTTTAGGAGTGACCATTAAAGTTTCGGTAAGGTTGATCAACTTTAAGTGCAACTTGCAGGTGTGTATCTATTAGGGTGAGGACAATCTCTCACAGAGTGCTGTGTTGCGTTGTTGTTCAGCACTGAGATGATGGAAAGGAATGTATGCAGCTTCCTCTCTTCATTTCCCATTCCTAAAGCTCTGGTTGGTAATATACATCCTGCTCAAAGTGAACAGCAAATAATTTTTGACTGCTAAATACTGTCCAAGATTTTCAAAGGAATGTATGCAGTTTTGTGACCTAGTCTACTATTTTTGGAGCATTAATCTACACACTTTGCACACTACTTTAATCTGAGGATGTGATCCATTAACCTGATTGTTGGAGACTCTTGGACATTTGCAAACATTGGAACAATGACTCAATAAATTATTTAATAATATCATGGAATGGAGAACATGCTTGTTTTGTATAAAACAATAAAATATAGTTTTCACCAAAAGGAAAATCCAAAGATTTCTATAAATCAGTGGAAAAAATAATTTATTGCCATTTTTTTTGCACATTAACATGTAACATTTATACATACATATTCTGTGCTGATAAGGTGTACCAGATATAGACAATTTTTATACACAAATTGTACTATCCTATTTTATAATGCAAATATTCAGAAATTATCAGTCAGATAAGTACAGATATTATTCACATAAAAATGCACTGTATGTTGACATTATGGAAGGTGTATGCATCTGAAACCTTGTCCACTTTGCTATATCAGCTGATAAAAGACACTATGTCCCCTTCCAAACTTTATATTCCCTTAATTATGTCACGATGCCTAGAATATTATCAGGTCCTCCCAAGGAATAAAATAAGATCATTTCTGAAAATTAGAGAGACCAATCAAAAAGGCAACCGTGACAACCATGTCCCAGCAGCATGCCTTTCGATTCTGGTGGCTCCATCAGAAAAGAATCAAAGCACTAGGTGCTCAAAAATTTTCCAGCAATCTATTATTAACATGTCAACTTAATTTAGTTAATATAAATCAGTGAAAAATACATTGCAAGTGAACAAGCATTTCAGTAGAAGTACATTGGCACATGCTTCAAATGGCAGTATCAGACAAACTTCTGACCCCTTTTCAATATAGAAAATGTTTACATAGTGTCTGCAAAGGGAAAATGCAGGATGATAGCAAAAGAGGAGCCTTTTTCTAACCAGGAATTTCGAGTGCATCAAGTGGTATTTACAAAATGAATGGGAAGCATGGTAATAGCAGAACTAAATCTGATAAACAACATTTATACGATAATAATGCTGCTTTAGGTATTATTTTAAAAAATAGTTCTTCAGGTTCATTGTTCTGCCCAACAACTGAAAAACCTATCTTTCCAGAAATGTCACCAATTCACATAATCACTATACTTCAGAGATGAAGATGAAGTTGTGAAGCATCACATTGGTTGGTCGTGGCGTGCATACTACAAAACTTTATTCATTATTATCTGGTGGTAGGAAGGGCCACATGACTGACGTGCAAAAACGCATATCAAGAAAAGGAAAGCTTGAAATACATGCTCATAGCAGACATACAACAATACCACACATTAAGGAAAAAAAAAAATAGCAAGCAAGCCTGGAGAAAAATGGTGAGCATGATTTCAGAATTAAGGCAAAAGACAACAGTACTGCACATGGCAATGGAGACATGACGTGAAATAACATCCATGACTCAACCTTACTGCCTGGGACCCTATTTGGAGGCAGCATTGCACCCTATCCAGCGTCCTCTTCTTCCCTCAGCTCAGAACGCATCTTGCTTTGCTTCCTTGAGTGCATGCAAGTAGAATTTGAGAAGTAAGGAATTTTCCTTGATGCAACAATATGGTGGGTCAATGCAGTGACAAAATAAATTTTACAACTTGCAACCAATATCAGTGAATAATAAAAATAATAAACCACGGCACAGGTAACGCATATATTTCTTTCTTACGTGTTTTATGTAGGAACGTAAAAATTCCTACATTCCCTGATAAACTACCGGCTCTGACTGAGATACTTTAATTTGTTTCCGTCACTAACGTGGGGATAGGGCAGGGAAAAAAAAAAGATATCTGAAAGTGGGGAATGATGGAAACTGCAATCAGACATATGAGGCTCTCTGCAAGCTTTCAGTTTGACAACAGACCTGTTTCTCAACAGAGAACCTGCAGCTGAACTTCTGTTAAAATAGTAATGATAGTAATAATTAATCTTATAACATGCAAACAAGCAGATGCGAAATGAGTAATTGGTCACAGTTGCTTTTCGTTCTATGTATATCTCTGCTAAAATGCAAGTTTTTGCTGTAATAGTATCATGGAAAAGATATATTAAGCGGAAAAAAGTAAAGGAGCAGCACTCCAAACCAACATTGATTCTTGTAAATCAGGTCTTTCTCAGAAGTAAGCACTGCTCATGGTGACTGATATTAGAGATGCCAACTTAGGAACCAAGTCTGAGCTATGCTGAGCTGCTCCAACCCTATTGTTTTCTACAGGCCTAGCAGAGAGACAGCATAATTTAAGCCTTGGTTTCACATCTCTGTTACAGCTGTAAGTATTTTGTCCTCTTTCCTCACCACATATTAGTTGCTGGGCTTCAGGGTAAAATACTATGCTGACAGATTTGCAAATGCTGAGCTAATCACTCTCCAAGGCATTTAATGAAAAAGGAGAATATATCACTAATGTAAATCTTGGATAGATTTAAAGATATCGGAGGTAGAAAACTTCACAGTAAAAGAACAACCAACAGAAATATCTTCAGAATGATTTACGAAATATTTTTATGTTTACTTCTATAAGCTATTTCTTGCAATATTCTGGAGTGACCTTTCAGGAAATACACCACATGGTTTCTGAATATACGTTAACATGCCATAACATATGCTGTTATTTCAGTCCCTCTGAAATTAATGGCACTGCACATCATACATTAGCATGCATATGTGTTTGTAAGGTTAGAGAACAAGACTCTAAAAAGAAAACCAAGACTACAACTTCGCTTAAAGCAAAGCGATTACTCTAAGGTAATCAGACATAAAAAGCTGGTTATCTGATTTCTGCTCTTGGGTGATGTACAGTCTGTAAAGCGACAGAAGTAACGCGAGAGTACCTCCGCAAGACAAAGAGAAACTGCAAACAGTTCAGAAAATCTTAAAGGAGTAAAACACAGTGAATCTTTTTTTTGTGTGTATGGACAGAAGGAATTGTGCAGGGAGTGAAAGAGAATTAAAAGATCAGAGGATTATATTCTTTCTCTTTGCAAAACCACCTCCGACAAAATGATTATCAGTTCCAATCACCAGATAAACGTATCTTTCCAGTCTCCTCCCAAACTTACTACAATTTAGAAGAGAACTGTGATGGGAGAAGTTCTGCCTGTAAGAATTACATGTATGTCTGAATTTCAGAAATAACAAAAACTAACAAAAATTAGAGAGACTTTTTGAATGTGCTTAAAGTGAGATTCTTAAGTGCTCCTGAAAATCAGGCTGACAGTATTTTTCTGGCAGGTTTATTCCTGCCCCCATGTCCCTCTCTATAAAGCTCGATTACTAGATAATAGCATTGGCAAGTACCTCTCAGGACTGCAGTGGGGATTAACAAAAACAACTGTTGTACAAGATCTCTAAAAGTTTAGAATTTTAAATATTGAAATTTCCTATCTGAACTATTAACATGAATATTATTCATATGAAACATGTGTGAGGCTTAAACAAAGAAAATGCCCACCTGACTCACTACCCCTCTGAAATTTCACATTCAAAATTACAATAATAGGACATAATTTATAATGCAGAAAAAAGTGAAAGGTGTTTAATTAAAATATATTTAAAATACAACTCTAGCTTTGAAAGAATGGTAGACATGTGAAGTTATAGGTAATCTTGATACAGAATAAAACCAGAAAAGTATTATCAAAAGTGGCACCCAGAATACTACTGTAAGTAATATATACTAAAATACATACTTCTGCAGAGTTAATGTATAGGTTCTTCCCTGACATTTAATAATGGGCATTAATACTGGGAGTTACCATTAAAAAGTCAGTATTCATAAATTTGAGTACCAGTGGTAATAAATCTGGAATAGATCTGAAGAGCCCAGTTTAACAGCCTAAATTTCATTTTTAGAAGCACGAGAGTATTCAGACATATAATTAATTTCCTGTGACCTACAGGAATTATTTCAGCCAAGGTAACTGATGACTTCCATTATTTTAGTCAATTGTATCTTTAGGATTAAATACATTGGCTTAAAACTATTTCTTTTTGTATTACTTCAGGACAAAATTCAAGCTATGTAAATTACACTTACACTTTTTTTTTAACTTGTTGGCAATGGGTGGAATGTATGCACCTGCTCAGCTATGGCAAATCAGCTGGCATACTGTAACCTGATGAAGTGTCACACTTCTGAGTCTAGATCTCACCGGCTTTTAATGAAATTTTGGTTAATACATGCCCAGATTTTTGAAATGGAGGCACAAGCTTAAAGACCACTCAGTGCCTGAAGAACTTCACCCTAGAGCATTTTGAGAACAGGATTTAGGCTCATATGTCATTTAGAAGAAAGAGTTTTCACCCTGTATATTTCTAAAGCAAGACCTCTATTGTGCAAGGCTCAGAACAAGGAGATCCATCAGTGTTTAACAGACTACCATACACATCAGGTGTGAACCTGCCTGCAAGTAGCTGCTGGATTGTCACCTAAATATCTGAAGGCACATTTATTCACTCACTGTAAGAAAGCAAATGGTGAATTTTGAAATGCTGATACCCAGACATGTCACCTAAACAGAAATGGACATTATATTGCAAAACCTAGTACAAGGGAGAAATCCGTAAAAGGAAGATATATAAATATTTAAACACTTGGCATTCCCTCAAGGACTTTTTAAAATACAGAAGTATTCTTTCAGGGACTGCACAAACTGCAAAGACAAATAATCAAGGACTTTAATGTGCTGTCAAGATAGTAAATGCATTAATGAAATGTGTTGTACAAAACTTTTTATTTCTAGGGAACATTTAGTTTTGCAAAAGCAAATGGATCTCATTGGTTTAGATTAAATTTGTCATGTTTATGCCTTGTTTAAAAAAAATTACACTCTGGTTAGTCATACCTCTGTCTCTGTACTCTTTCTGGACAAAAACCAAACCTGCATTGGTTCTTTTTTCCCCTTCATAGAAACTGGACCCCTGTATTCCAGGTGGAATTGAGGATCTGAATTTTCTGGTGTCATAAGACACCTGTAATTGAAAAGAGAAAACATGTAAATATATGTACTTTGCATGCATGCCAAACACTGCATAAAATGTTAAACATGCTACAGACGTGAGCAAATTAACAAAAGAGTCAAATCTATGTCTAGATCCTTACCATATTTGCATACCAATAACAGTGTATCATAATGCAGTCTGCCAGACAATTTCATGAGGATTCATGTACTTAAACAATGTGTTGCAGGAGTCCCGTCACTTTCAACTCCAAAGACACTATGATGTTAAGCTGACAAAGTGATTTCTTTTAAGATGTCAACAGCAATAAAAACACCACATTACTCACCTGTAAGTGTATTCAGAGACATTGATCTTTCCCTTTTCTCCAGTAGTTTCTGTTCTGCTTGTTAGATTGACGGTATTTCCAAACAGACAGTAACGCGGCATCCTTTGGCCTATGACACCTGTGACTACCTCACCGGTATGGATTCCTATTGTTATCTTTAGAGAGAAAAAATACAAGTTTGAATATTCAAAATCAACATAACTAATCTGATGCTTCTGACTATTACAGATATTATGTCATTTCTATCTACTCCTGCTTCCTCAAAGACTTGCATGTTGTGGTTTGTGTAACGCTTATTTACTGCGGTGCAGTGTCATGGCTCTGCCTCCCACATGAAAGAACAAACTCCGTATTTTTCTAGCATGCATGATGCCACGCTGCTATCATGTACTGTGATTTTTTTTTTTTTTTTTAAAGTGGGAAGAGAGGCATACTCTACAGGTCTGTGCTTAATGAGTGCTCAGAAGATGCAGAAATGCATGGTGTAGGTCAAGAAAAAATTTCTCAGAGGAAACATTATGATATTTTGAATTTAAAAGCTCAAGAGCCAGAAGATGGGCTTGGAGACGCTCATTCTTATAGCAACTTATTGTAAAGCCCCAAATCAAACCTTCTCACTTTGCTCAGTGACAAAGTGAAGTACACAGATCTAAGCCAGGTGTTAGACCAATAACATCCACGTAAACAGAAATATGCATCACACTCATTACTTACTTTGTCCTCAAAGACTTCTGATAAGGACAGGTCAATGCAGCCTCCCCAGTTCTGTATTAATGCCACAACATCTTCATAAAATCACGCAATGAGTGAACTTCCCCCTAATGCACGTTGTTGCCAGTAATCACTGCCACAACTGCCCATGGAACTGAACTTTTTTAATGCAATATTTTCTCATACTGATGTGAGGATCTGAAGCGTGTCCAAAAATATCAGTGAAGGAATATTATTGCTCGGTTCATTGAGATGAAAAAGACTCAACGAATTGTATTTGGTGAGTGATGGGAATTTGTCGATTACATTGAAATAACTGGAAAACAGATGTAAATGATGCGGACCTAATTCAGTCCTTTAAAAGGTTAAGCACAATAATTAGATTTTAAGGTCTGGGAACTGCACATTTCACATTTACACGTGACTCTCCATATTATTTGTAGACATAAGTCTCAAAATCTAACAACAACAAAGGTTGCATGGACTGGGCCAAGCATTATCTTATTTCAAAGCATTATCATCCTATCAAAGAATGGGCTCTTCGTTCAAGCCCACATATTTACTAACCTGTACAGGCTCACCATCTACTTGAACTTGGCCTGCTATTTCCATCATATCCAGTGCCAGGTGGCAGATAGATCGTGCATGATGAATGCAAGGCTCTGGTAGACCACTCACTGTCATATACTTGTCCCCAACTGTTTCCACCTATCAAGATACATATTTTTCAATTAGTTCATTATCGTGGGTTTCAGAGTACTTGAATGGATATAGTGCTTCCTTCAGGACTGCTTGTCCTTTCAAATAGTTTCCCTTCACTTTCTTTCAAACCACCCTAATTCCCATGTTATTGAAGAGAATTTATTGTATGCCCACAATGTAATAAATTAAATTGACACTGTGATTGTGTGAAATTGAGCCCCTCTTTTGGGGTCTTCTGAATTTCTGAGAAATGGAACACTATGTTTGTTTTGACTCACACTCTTGATTCAGTTGGTAAAGGACATAAAATTGATTTCTAGCAAAAGCTAGGAAGGAATCTTCTACATATAAATACACAAGCATACACATGTACCTATGTAT